AATGTACCTTGCACATCTGCAGAAAATGACATCAAGAAAGCTTTAGGCTTCCTAAATCTCTTCTGCACCTGAGGGAACTTCAGCTATGACCTCTTTATATGGAGTTTGTTCAGCGGCCACTAGACGTTGCTGCTAGTCCTAGGCTGATATATGTGTTCCTCCTTCTTTTCTCTGCACTTTCATTGCATCACAGCGACGGTAACCTCTGCTGTGGCTGGTTCCATCAGTGACACATCCAATTAACTTGTGTGAGGAATGTAAGAAACAGAATTGAAATAGAACCTTCTTCCGATCAATGCACCAGTCATGTTGCAAAGAGGTAGTATGAGATTGTAAGTGTTGTGTGAGTACTGACACCTTACCTTCCCTGTCCACATTACCCAAGAAAGGCTCAATTCCAATAGGAACATGTTGGTAAATACTTACAATTCAAGCTGAGATGGAGGCAATTTTGTGGCCTATTCAGCTTACAAGATCTTACATTGTCCTTGTGCTTTGTGGCCTGCAGTGCCACTTTTAAACATTGCCTGTCATTACTTCTGCTTTATAGAGATGACTACCTTCAATGTGCGATGACTAAATGATATGGTCAAGATTATATGTCACCATCATTTGCATCCCACATAGTTGTACATGCACTTTACATTGACAGTGCTATAATTAGAGATGACTAAACCTGGAGTGTAAAATACTGACTAATACTTTTGCCCCTTGAAGGGCCTCCAGTTGCTCACAAGCAAAGCCCATGTGCCATAAAGAAAACAAAATAGACTCTGCCAACTCCGGGAGTAGTCACAGCTATTTCCCATTTGCAATGCCCAATCACATGTTTGTTGAATATCAAAGTCAATGCCAGTCATGCTTGGCACAGACTCAGGCTCAGTTTGATAATCAAGTCTCCATACCCACTCCCTGCCCTCTCACATCCCCCCAACAAACTGAAACTTCATGCCCTTTTCTTCCTGGTACTCCCTGGGCAGCACATCAGTCCTGATCTTCCACATGCTCCCACAAATCTCTTCGAATTATGACTTGCTCTCATCATTAACCTGCTCAAACCTAGACCTACACTTTTTGGGAATTCTGAGCATCTAGTTTCTATGGTGGGTGATTGAGAAACTGCACATTAATGAGGTGAGATTAGGTAATAATGAGATGTAAATGTATGCTCATGCATGCAAACAGAGCTCTCACTGCTCACAAGTGAAAATCTCATCACGCTATTCAATGGAAAAATGAACTTTTGATCTCAATGTTGAGAAGCTCGTCAGCCATCTCAAGCGATTTTCCCAACTTCTCAGGACTGGAAGCATTCTGCCGCATGTTGCTATTGCATCAATTTGTAGATGACTAAACCAGTGACGTTACCATTGCATCATCATTGTTCTTTGGGAAAGATGGTCTAGCAGTAATGTTGCCGTAAGGCTGTCTTCAACCTACTGCATGAAAGCAGCCTATTATTATTGTCAGACAGAGGTTGTTCTCATGTTTTGTCATAGATTTTATTATGCTCCTAGAACTGCCCTTCATTTAATTTTCTCCCAGGCACTGGTCTCCATCACTCTTACCGTTTAGCATTGTAAAAGAAAGATACATACTCTTATTTTTTCTAATTAGTGTTTATGCTAATTAATGATTGGTGAAAAATTGTTTCTTAATAGGTTAGCATTCTGTTTGGAAACTGTGTAAGTGAATAGGAAGCTTTTAATTAAATCAATAATTTTAATATAATATTAATAATCTAATTAACTTCAATAATTCTTTTAAGTTGTCCATTTTATCTTCCTGCATGTTGAATCTATAATTTCCTTGATGTATCTTCATATGAATATATTTTCCCCATTAACAAAGAATTGTTAGGCTTGTCATTGTTTGGAGTGTATGAAATTTATTATTTTAATGAATCTTGTTTCAAGCATTCATTTCCAAATGAAGGAAAAGTCATCAAAGTGTGTAAGAAAACTGAATGGGAATCATAATAGGCAAACAGAAAAGAAATAGAGATTTTTAATGTGCACTGGACTTCTTTCTTAATGAGCATTAAAAAAAACTGCGAGAGATGGGAAATGAACCTAAGCAAATAAAAACATGGAACGTCTGAGTCATACATATCACTCCAAGAGGTTTAAGGTGAAGATGAAAGGACCAATGAAATAGGTTGGAAAGTAGCTAGTTTTAAAGGGATGAGAATGTAACCAGAAAAAAAGAATAAGGTTGGCAAGTAAAGCAATAGAACAACAGTGGTCATGCTTAACCAAACTCATTGAACTCTCTGAAGTAACAGTAAGAGCAGACAAGGATAATGTAACAAATAGCGCACAATTCTAATGTCAAAGCTTTCCAAGTTATTTCTAATTCCAAATTAGACTTGCGAATAAGGATTGTGGATTTAGGAGGCAATTGGTAAAATGGACAACAAGCTGGCAACAAAACATAAAGTAGAAAGTAGTCATCAGGGGAAGAAATTTATGTTGGCAAAAGATGGGAAGTGCTGTTCCATAGGAGCAGAGCTCTACTAATGATAGTCAGATTTTCCTTCAATTATTAGGATTTGGAAATCAGAGGTAAATAAAAGTTATGGGTGACATTTAATTGGATCTATGTTAAATGAGGAGATAACATTAAGAAAAGAATAACTAACTGGCAGAATGGAAAATATAATTTGCAAGTTAGTTTCAATATAGATAAGTATGAGATGCTACACTTTGAAAGGAAGAATATGCTGAGGGGAAAGTAAGTATATTTGGAAACAGTGGCACAATGGAGCAGTATAATTTTAAAAAATTAAAAATCACTAAAGATTCATAAGACCATAAATATGCAAATAAAGCACTGAAGTTCATGTCTAGAAAATAAAAAATAGAAAAAGTTTGTTACATTCATTTAGAATTCCATACACATTTTTGGGAATGTATTTTCACCTGATGATGGAGGCAGGAATGGGGTCAGGAATACCAAAAAATTAGACTTTTTTTGCACTAATTTTAAATTTGCAGTTTCTTCCTGACTCATCACTATTTTTGAATAGCTTGTTTGTGGGTTGTAACTATACAGCATCCTTTCTTAAGTCAGGATAGCTAATGTGAAGCCTATAGAAAATTTGAGTATTCTACCTGCTACCATCACCCAACTATATCTATGAGCTGGTTTGGTATTTTATGCCCTGTAAAAAACCTCCTCTCATAGGCGAGTTAGTGATCACTTGTAATCCAGGTGAGGATTCAGGAATATTCTCACAGTTAAGATGTTTTGAAAACTTCATATGTCCCTATCAGATTTTGTAAAGTAGATCTAATTTAACTGTAGTGACTCATCATACGACGCTGTCCTGAAAAGGCATGTAGAGCATGACATTGTTAATTGTTGAGATGCATAAGAGCACTCTTCCTATTGGAAGAACTGCTCTTGTGCATTGAAATGTAAGAAAAATGGAGGACCATTTCCAATTTATTGGTTTTAAAGGATTTAAATAACCAGAACCTTGCTAAAATCGATAAATACTTTTAGTACCTTTCAGTTTGGGAAAAAAAAACCTTCTGAGCTTATTTACAGAACACCTGATGTAATTTTTAAAACATTGACCTGGCTTTTAGTTTCAGTGGACTCCATGGTTTAGATCTCCCAGGGTTTGTTTTGACAGCTGAGCCCATTATGAATACATAGCTAAGTTTTAAAAGTAGCTACAAAAAGTACCTCAAGGAGTAGTTGTGGTCATAGTTTGGGTGACAATTTTAAGTTATGAAACACTTACATATCTTTTGCCGTGATAAGTGAATAAGTGTGTTTACTTTTATTACAAAGTGACCACTTGAGGGGAGTATATTTTAATTTTTTTTTCATTACAAAACTTTGTGTAATGGCAGCTGATTAGAATGAGTGAAGTTTACTTTTTAAAAGTCCGTTTCAGAGGCATTCTTAAATCTTGCCATAGTTGGTACTGGGTGAGTAGCTGTTGTGAATACATGGCGGTGGAGGGTGGATAGGGTGTGCATGGTGAGGGCATGGCAAGTATGAAGGGAGCATTTGAAGGAGTATGCAGATTTTGAGGAGGCACAGAGGAGTAGGAGAGCTGTAAGGTGGCAGCGGGAGTATGGAGAGCATGGGGGAAGCACTTGGGGCATGAGCAGTCATTGAAAGGATATGGGGGGCATGAAGGATCATAGGGACAGTTTAGTTCAAGGTGGAGGGATAAATAAACTGTTAACGAACACGGTAATTCTTGGAAATGGAAATACTGGTTGTACTGAAGCACTGTTCTGAGATGTACAAAACATTTTGGAACAATATGTATCATTTGCAAGTTTTACTGATTTCTCCTTCTGGATGGGGCTAAATGAGCAGCTCGTCTCTTGAGAATTGTGAAAGGGCCTGACCCAGGTTTTGCAAATGATCTCCAGATTGTAGAAAGGATACACTGGAACCATGGGAAAAAACACAAAATAAATTTAAAAGAAACCATGGGTTTACGCTTATCAGGGAAGGGATGAACTAAGTGGGACTTTTTTTTTGAAAAATAGAAGACCAAGGCATGATATATTAGAGATCTTCAAAACTGTTAAGGACCTTGATAAGGCAGACATAAGAGATGGTATTCATCTGTCAGACAGTCCAAAATTCAGTCATTAATATGATGTTGTTATACATTTAAGGCAAAGCTAATTAAGTATGGGGAGATAGGATTCAATGAGTTCATGGAGAAGCATGTCACCAACACAGAGCAGTTATGACAGTTATATTTTTAATGAACCTGTTCAGACATGTTATGACACACCTCAGAAGGAGGTAGGAATTGAGCCTGGGCTTTCTGGCTCAGAAATATGGACAACACCACTGTACCACAAGATCTTACTAGAGGTTGGCATGTAAGCTGTATAAACCCTTTGCTATTTTAGTTATTAGGATAAATAGGTTCAAATAAATAGCTTGTTTCACCATTGAACTGTTGAGAAATCATTAAGAAATTTTAATGCATTAACAAATAAATTGACGTAAATACTAACCTGATTGACTATATTCAGAAGGTGCATAGCTGTCAGTGAACTACACAAAAAAAGAGTAAGAATGTTGAATTTTCTAGCACTGTGACAATTCAACGTTTCACAAGTCAATGGGTATACAAACTGATTAAAAACTGAATAACCAACAGATTTGAAGCTTAAATTAAGAAATACTTAATTTGTTCTTACCAGAAGTATCTTTGTCTAATTATTTTTGTTTAATCCTTTAAAAAGACACATAGAGGTCCCTAATCAACTTTCAAGCATTCAAGTCCATAACTGGTTGAATTGGATAACGTGCGTTGTTCATTGACATTTGAAACTATGATCACATTGCTTTGATAAACCCAAGAGGTTTGTAAATCAGATAAATTATAGAGATTAATCAATCAAAGTTCATTCCAAGAATATGGCCAGGTCCCTGAGGAATTAACAGTGAAGTTCATTTCATTCTTAAATCTGGAGGAAATTCGGAGAATGATACAGCATGAATGAGGTAAAAAGGCCTGTTATGCCAGTGTCATTTAACTGTTTTTTAATTATTGCCTGTCCCTAATTGCCACTGAGAAGGTGGTGCCTTCTTGAACTGTTGCAGTCCATGTGCAGGAGGCAGAACCACAATGCTGTTAGCGAGTAAGTTTCGGATTGTGCCCAAATACACCAGAGGAATGGTTATTTATTTCCAAGTCAGAATGGTGATTGACTTGGACAGGAGCTTACAGGTAGTGTTCCCATGCATATGCTGTCTTTCTCCTTCTGAATGGAAGTGGTCCTGGGTTTAGAAGGTACAGTCTAAGGAGATTTGGCGAATTTCTGCATTGCATCATGTAGATGGTACACACTACTACTACTGGTGGTTGGAGGGAGTGCATGTTTGTGAATATAGTGCCAATTAAGTGTGCTGCTTTGTACTGGATTGTGTCAAGCTTCTTGTGTGTTGTTGGAGCTGCACTCATCCAAGCAACAGGGGAATATTCCATCACATTCTTGACTTGTATCTTGTAAATGGCGGACAGGCTTTGGGGAGTCAGGTGTTGAATAGCTCACTGCAGGATTCTTAGACTCTGAACCGCTCTCATAGTCATTGTATTTATATGGTTAGTCCAGTTCAGTTTCTAATCAATGATAACCTCCAGGATTCAGTGATTATAATGCAATTGAATATCAATAGGTGAAGATTAGATTGTCTCTTATTGGAGATGGTCATTCCCTGGCATTCGTGTGGCATGAATGTTATTTGTCATTGTCAGGTCTTGCCTCATTTGGACATGGACTGATTCAGTGTCTGAGGAGTTGCAAATGGCGCAATCATCAATGAACATCCCACTTCTGACCTTACAATGGAGGAAAGGTGATTGATGAAGCAGCTAAAGATGGTTGGGCCTAGGGCACTGCTCTGAGGAACTCCTGCACAGATGTCTTGGAGATGAGAATGATTGTTCACCATAACAATATCCATCTTACTTTGTGCCAGGTGAGACTCCAACCAGTGGAGAATATTCCCCCAGATTCCCACTGACTCCACTTTTGCTAGGGCTCCTTGGACGCCACACTTGGTCAAATACAGCCTTAATATCAAGGGCTGTCACTTTCACCTCAGCTCTTTTGTCCATGTCTGCACCAAGGCTGTAATGAGGTTAAGAGCTGAGTTAGTCTGACAGAACCCAAGTTGGACATCAGTAAGCAGGTTATTGCTGAGCAGGTGATACTTGATAGCATTGTTGATGACACCTTTCAGCACATTACTGATGATCAAGAGTAGAGTGATAGAATGGTAATTGTGTGGGTTGAATGTCCTACTTTTTTGTGTACAATCATTGAGTCATACAGCATGGAAACAGATCATTCGATCCATCCAGTCTAGCCAACTATGTTCTCATACTGAACTAGTCCAACCTTCCTACATTTGGCCCTTATTCCTCCAAACCTTTCCTATTCATGCACCTATTCAAATGTCTTTTAAATGTTGTAACTGTACCTGCATCCATCATTTCCTCTGGCAGTTCATTCCACACTTGAACCACTCTGTGTAAAAAAGTTGCCCCTAATGTCCTTTTTAAAACCTTCTCCTCTAACATTAAAATATGTCCCCGAGGTTTTGAACTCCCCACCCTAGAGAAAAGACCCTTGCAATTCACCCTGTCTATGCCCCTTATGATTTTATAAATCTCTATAAGGTCATCCCTCAATCTCCAATGCTCCAGTGAAAAATGTTCCAGCCTATTCAGCCTACTTTTTTATAATTCAAACCCTCCATTCCCAGCAACATCTGAGTAAATCTTTTCTAAACCCTCTCCAATTTCATAATATCATTCCTGTAGCAGGGTGACCAGAACTGCAATCAGTACTCCAAAAGTGGCCTCACCAACATCCAACAACCTCAACATGACATCCCAACTCTTATATTCAACGGTGTGAGCAAAGAAGGCAAGCATGCCAAATGCCTTCCTAACCACCCTGTCTATCTGCAATGCAATTTTCAAAGAACTATGTACCTGAATCCCTGGATCTCTCTGTTCAACAACTCTACCCAGGGCACTACCATTAACTATATAAGTCCTTCCCTTGTTTGTTTTACCAAAATGCAATACCTCGCTTTTATCCAAAATTGAACTCCATCTACTACTCCTCAGCCAGCTGGCCCAATTGATCAAGATCCCTTCGTAATCTTAGATAACTCTTCATTGTCCACTATACCACCAATTTTAGTGTCATCTGCAAACTTACTAACCATGCCTCCTAAATTCCCATCCAAATTGTTTACATAAATGTCAAACAACAGTGGACCTAGCACCGTTCCCTGCAAACACCACTGTCCACAAGCTTCCAGCCCGATAAACAATCCTCCACCACCACCGTCCGTCTCCTACCATCAAGCTAATTTTGTATTCAATTGGCAAGCTCTCCCTGAATCCCTTGTGATCTAACTTTACTAATCAGTCTACCATGTGGAACCTTGTCAAAGGTTTTACCAAAGTCCATGTAGAAAATGTCTGCTGTTCTGCCCCCATCTATCTTTTTGATTATATCTTTAAATATCTCAATCAAGTTTGTGAGACACAATTTCCCACATACAAAACCATGTTGACTATCCTTAATCAGTCCTTGCCTCTCCAAAAGCATGTAACTCCTATCTCTCAGAGTGCCTCTAGCAAACTATCCACCACTGATGACAGACTCACCTGTCTATAGTTCCCTGGCTTTACCATACCTGGGCAATTTTCCACATTGTTGGGCAAATGCCACTGTTGCAGATGTAATGGAACAACGTGGCTAGGAATGCAGAAAGTCATCAGTACTATTGCTGGAATGTTGTCAGGGCCTTTCCAGTATCCAACTGTTTCTTGATATCATACAGAGTGAATAAAATTAGCTGAAGACTGGAATCTGTGATACTGGGGAGCTCTGGAGGATGACTGTTATTATAATGTGCATTTAGAAGATAATTCCATACATATTCAAGATGGAATATGAAAACACCAAGCAACTTCTAAGATAGAACAAATGTTTGCCATAGTAATTGTTACATTCCATTTTATATTACCAGGTGTATCTTAGCACAGCAGAAGATCAATATGAAATCTCAATTTACAATTCCTCAGATGGCTTCTTTTTTGGACTAGTAAAATTGAAAAAAGAAAGCTCAGGCAAGGCATGCAAGTGATGAGATTGCAAGTGATAAGAAATAAAACTGCTGAAGAACTGTTGTTGTGAGAAATTATGGCTTGTGTCCAGTACAAGGATCAATTTTACAGGAGAAGATAGGAGTCTGGGGATTGGTGTTCAGCCCCAAACAAATACATGTACAGGATCATTGTGTTCCAGAATCAAATCACCAACAGGGTTGGTGTTAATCTTAGTGTTAGATATTTTTCTTTCATGACCTTGCACTTCTCACTGTACTTTTGTTGTTTATCATCTCTTTGGCATGAGTTTCACAGTAACAAAGTAGAGATACAGGTCTCTACAAAGATGAGCTAAGGTTGAGGCAGAGAAAAGTGAATTTATGAAAGTGGAAGTTCCGATACAGTGACAGGGCCAAACATAATATCCAGAGGTAGTCATGTCATAATCACTACTGGATGTCAGCAAGTGTCGCAGAGTTATGGGGGTGTTGAGGAGATGGTGAAAATGAAGAGCTGTATCTTGATGGAGAGCTGGCTCCATGTGGATGATATCACCAAGGGACAACCCGTAGAATAGGGGTCAGTGGTGTCAAGAATGCACTTTTGAGGTGAAGGTGTGGGGATGGGAAGGGAAGGGATAAACTTAGTAGAATATATTTTGTGTATTTTCATTCAAGAAAAATCTGACTCATAATCATTTAGAAATTAAACCGGACCTTTGCAGATCTACAAATATAATGATTGACATAAGACCTACCTTAAACATTAAGCTGGATTTTGACACTTTGTTCAAAAGAGTACTTGAAGATTGTGACTGAAAGGTAGAACTTGCCCTGTGGGAAAATAAATTAGGACATTAAACAAAATAGACAACTACTGGAATGTATTTTAAAATCACATTTGTAACTTGGGACTTTGAATCATTTTCTGATCATTGTTTGCAATGAGAACAAAAAGATTTTTGAATTGAAATGTACCCAATAAAGCAAAACATGAATGATAATGAGAGTATAAAAACTGCAGCATTGTGATGTTGGTCATGAGAGTAGCATTCAGATGAAACAAGGGGTTGAATGTTGGCAGGGAAAGGCTGCAATGGTGGCGTTTCTATTGGAAACCCAGATTTCAGGGATCCCTTCATGTTATGGAGATTTAACTACAAAGTAACTATAGTTTTGCTTCAAAAGGCTTACTGTTGAAAGTCCACCTGATTGACGCGCTTGGCTTTCTTTCAAATAAGACACCAATTCTCCATCTTCATTGCTCTTTCACCCTAATTAGCAATCCCTTTGTTTTTGCACTGGGCCTCTACACCAAATGTTCCCCTGCCCCTTCCTCCATATTTGCCAAAAGTACAAAAACACCACTTTCTAACACTTTTCAGTTCTAAAGCAGTGTCATTTGGGACTCAAAACATTAACTCTGTTTCCCTCTCCATAGATGCTGCCAGACTGTTGTGTTTCTCCAGCATTTTCTATGTTTCACATTTTCAGCACCCTTAGCATTTTACTTTGTTTTGTGAAGAACACTTAATCTGATTTGAAAAGGTAGCTGGTCAGATGAAGTAGTGAAAACTTAGTTGGACTTTAATGACATAGAGTGCGGTGACAGGTACAGCTATAAATGTGTACATTACGCAAATGCAGGTTCTCATATATTCCATGATTGCAAGAATGTATTGAGAAGATTGGACAAGCACAATTTGTTACAAAAGTTGACTATTAAAAAGATATTGCAGGTTCCTTTGACTCACATGGACGAAGAAATATCACCTATTGTAACAACAGATAGACTTTATTAACGCAAAAGCATGCTTTTTGGAATGGAAAGTGCACCAGCAACTCTTCAATAAATACTCAACAAAATTATCAAAGGATTATGAAACTTGTCTACATCATTGATTTGTTTGTGTTCAGTCAAACAATGATATCATTTACATCATTTAAATTAACTGTTTGATCGGTTACCAAAAGCCAATTTGATCATAAATTTGCCTAAAAGTGAATTTACAAAATATTGTAGGAATGTATGAAAATTGAATGGCCAAAAAAATGTTAGAATGACTTGCCAACTTAAAAGCTGTGCTGACTAATGCGCTGGTTTTCGCAGCAACTAATTATGAGAACCCTTTTAAACTGTCTGGAGATACCAGTGAATTCGGCATTGGTACATTGATATTAGAGGAGAATGCAATAGCTAGTGAATAGCTATTCAGCTCTCAGGTCATGAACTTGACCACATGTGTACAGAAATATTCAATGTTTGAGAAAAAGGCACCGAGCCTGGTCTTGGTTATAAAAACCTTGAGGAACAAGAACAAAGTTGCTGGAAAAGCTCAGCAGGTCTGGCAGCACCTGTGAAGGAAAAAACAGAATTAACATTTCGCGTCTGGTGACCCTTCCTCAGAATTCTGAGGAAGGGTCTCCGG